GTCCAAGTGGGGTAGAATTAAGTGGTTTTTCAGTTTGAGGTTGTGTTGGTGGGAGTTCGAGAAACTCCCGACTGCAGGTCGGTATGTAACAACCCAAAATTCAAGGCCAAAAATTTCATTTTTAAATAAGTTATTATAAAACCATAAGTATATAACACCTCATGTCAAAACCAAAGTGTCAATAGTCAAACATGTTATCATAAAAATAATATCAGAGTGTAATCCCAAAGATCTCATGTGCGGAAAACATAGTGTGATGCGCTGCGATCAAGCTGGCTCCTTTCTTTTGAAAACGAAGTACCTGAAACCAAAACTTTAAACCGTAAGCACGAAGCTTAGTGAGTTCCCCCATCATACCACAAACCATACAACATACATACTAACGGGAAATTTTGGGGTGCCCGACCTACCCTGCCAGGCATTTCTAGGGTGTCCGACCTACCCATGTCAAGCAGTTCTGGGGTGCTGACCTACCCTGCCAAGCGATTCTGGGGTGCCTAACCTACCCTCCGGTTTATCCCAACCGACTACGGGGACTATTTCACCCCCTACTACTACCACACAATAACATAGCATAAACATACTGTCAGGCATATCTAGGGTGCCCGACCTACCCTTCGGTCCTTACGACCGAGATACGAGGACTATTTCACCTCCTACTGCTACCACATAATAACAAAGCATAAACATACTGTCAGGCATATCTGGGGTGCCCGACCTATCCTTCGGTCCTTACAACCGTAACACGGGGACTATTCCCCCTACTACCACTAACACATAACATCATATCATGCTAGCACATAACACATATCAGGTAGTAGCAAACCTAGATAATTATCACAAAGACAATCATCTATCAAACAACTCCTACTAGTGGGCCGGCATTGTGGCCGTAGACCTACTTCTACTGGAAGGTAACTCACCTCATACTGTTGAAGTCCACTGCAAATAGATCCTCAGCTGCTGTCCTGGCAACTCCTCGAGCTATCATTACCCAAATTATCATCCAATTAGCAATTTAGTCTCAAACCATGATCCATAACCCATACTTGGGGTAAAAATGACCATTTTACCCCTGGCCCAGCAAAATACATAACTAAGGCCCAAGTCCACAGCAAATCAAGTCCAAATTCCAAAATCCATAAGGGCCCACTAATGGCCCACTATTGGAAATTGGGCCCAAACCCTTACATGGGACAACCTTCTATAATCCATTCCGTACTTCATAACCTTTCAAGAGTCTACCTTGGTCAAAGTCCAAGTCAAAGTCAACTCTCTGGTCAAAGTCAACATTCCGGGTTGACTCAACTCGCCGAGTTGGTCCATCAACTCGAAGATTTCCCTTTATCAGAAAACTCTGAAATCGCGACCCAACTCGACGAGTTCTTCCACAACTCGTCGAGTTCCTCCTATCAACAACATCGGGACTTCTCGCTTGACTCGTCAAGTCCTTCCTTGGACTCTTCGAGTCCTCAACTCCTGAAAGCTCAAAACCATGTCCAACTCACTGAGTCATCTCCTAGACTCAACGAGTTCACTCAGAACCAGAAAAGGTTGGGGACCACGACTCGACTCGCCGAGTCGTAAGAACAACTCGTCGAGTCCTCCATAAGCCAAATCCATACAGTCGACTTTAGCTGAGTTCAATGCATCCAAAACATAGATCTGGTCTTCTAGGATCGATATATCATGTAAAGTTACAAACTTTACGTGCATGCAAGGTGTTATGAGCCAAAAACACCATTTTCAAGTCTAAAATGAAGTCTAGGCCTAAGGGAAGGGCTTAAGCATGATAAATTTGTGAACTTTATGGCTATAGGGGATGAAAAGGATCTGGATCTGAAGTTACAACTTCAAATCGCACTCTATACTAAAAAAAGGTTCACAAAATTGCTAAAAGATGGCCCTAAACTCAACATGGAGAGATCTAGCAATAGAGAAGTCAAGGAAGCAACTTTATACCTTGAAGGGACTGGAAATGAAGCTTGAACCTTGGATCTACTGCTTCCTTGAACCTTCTAGCTCCTTCTTCTTCTTCCTCTAGCTTCAAAAACACATAAAATCCCTCAAGAATGGCCCTCACACTCTCACAAAGCTCTAGGGTTTCAAATTAGGGTTTTCTGGACTAAGGGGGACGATGGAGGCTGGAATGGAGGCTGGTTAATGTGTTTAAATAGGGTGCAAACCCTAAAAATTAGGGTTCCACTCTGGCAGCTCTACTCGGCGAGTCGGACTCTCGACTCGTCGAGTAGGTGACTTAATTCCCGCGTCCGCATCTGATCCTACTCGACAAGTTGGTCCTTTAACTCGTCGAGTCCCTTTGCAAAAGCGGAAAAGTCTTATTTGAACTACGAACCAGGAAACGGGCGTTACACCCTTGATGAATCTCAATGATCTAATCAATGTTGCAAAGATCTTGAGTGGAGTTGATGTTTTGAAACTCCAAGTGAACAACAAAGAAGATTTTTTACTTGGGTTTGCACATATCAAGCTTTTTCATTTATAATTACTACGATTGTCTTGCCTTAACTGATGTGGAACTTGCTTTTTCGTTGACAATTACTACGATTGTCTTGCCTTAACTAAAAAGGAAAAACTATATGTAAGAAAGGCATATTGAGAAAAAAGAGTTTTGTACAAAAAAATAATAATAAGGGATAATGACTTAAAAGGGTAATATATTTTTCGATTTGTACACATTTGGTCACTGAGTTTTTTTTTTTCGTCCACATTTACCCATTCAACTTGTTAAACTGTACACATTCAGTCCTTATGACCGGCTACTCCAGGTTAGCCGGTAAAAATGACTTAATAGGGTAATATATTTATCACTTTGTACACATTTAGTCTTTAATATTTTTGTATACATTTAGTCCTTAATATTTTTTTGTTGCAAAATAAGTCATTTTTATTTTTGTACTCATTCAGTACTTATGAATGATTTTTTTAGGTTTTTCTCACGACATCTTACGTGAGACAATCATTAACGAGGTGTTTAGGGCTTTTTATGATTATGTCCATCGCGATCTCGACTACTTGGTTGTTTAGGTCATTTGTTCTGAACGTCATAAATTTTTCATACGATCTCAGATTTTAACGATCTTTATATCCATGCGTTCGTATTTTAGTCTACTACAACTTTCGTTTAGATTACTCCTGTTAAAAAGTAATATATTTTTACTTATGATCTTTATATCCATATGTTTTTTTTTAAATGCATGTATGGATGTTTTTTTATAAAATCGTAATTAAAAATATATTAGATTTTAACGGGAATAATCTTAACGAAAGTTGTAATAGACTCAAAAAACAAACACGTGGATATAAAGATCATTAAAATCTGATATCATATGAAGAAGTTACGACGTTCAAAACAGAATACTTAAGCCAAACCACAAGATCTACGCAACCAAACAGTCGAGATCGCGATGTACATAAGCATCAACATCATCAAACACCTCATTAATGATTGTCTCGCGTTAGATGCCGTGAGAAAAAAATCTAAAGAAATCATTCATAAGTACTGCATGAGTACAAAAACAAAAATGACTTATTTTGAAACAAAAAATATTAAGGACTAAATATCTACAAAAACATTAAGGATTAAATGTGTACAAAATGAGAAATATATTACCTTATTATGTCATTTTTTCTGGCTAATCTGGAATAACCGGTCATAAGAATGTGTACAGTTTAACAAGTTGAAGAGGTAAATGTTGACGAAAAAAACTCAGTGACCAAATATGTACAAATTAAAAAATATATTACTCTATTATCCCAAAAAATGATGCCTCTACCAGGATTTGAACCAGGGACACCTGACTAGAGGAGTCATTGTTTCTTATATTGTTTTGCTACAGGGGCTTATGTTGTTCTTTAAACCCCAAAGTTATTTTTATTCTAAACATCCATAAATCATATAGACAAATACAAAGGAAACACAAACCTTTTTTCATCAACCGACAAACGTTTTGCTTATTAAAAACCATGTGACACACATTACCACGAAGTGATAAATTGTAATACAATCGAAGTATGGAACTCAATACTTAAATCTGTAAACCAACAATTTTTTCTTTTTGTAATTATAAATATTATAGATTTATTGTTGTAATTCCTTTGTAGTCTGGTTTGATCTCCAATTTCAGTATTTCACGGTAAGAAGTTGATTGTTTATTTCATTTTCAAGTCCAAGAAGCTAGATGTGGATGCGTTTGTGATTGATGAAGATGGAAAGATGGAGCTGCTGCTCAGTTTGTTATTCCTTTTAGTTTGATGATAACTCGAATACAAAATCTGAAAACTTTGCTAAACAAAAAACTAATAACATGCTAAAAAGTTCTAACTATTTTTTAACAATTAAAAACAGGTAAAAATATAATATTAACAAGCTAAATCGTGAGTGTCAAACATGTTCTTCATATCTACTGTTTTTGAACATGTTCTTATCTAAACTTTTTTCGTAAATTTTTTGGTAAAACCAGAAAATTAATAACATGCTAAAACATGAGTTTCAAACAATTATTTTTTCATTTTAATTATGTTTTTCGAACTTGTTTATATATGTCCCGAAAAGACAATTTCGAATATGTTGTTACCTAAAATTTCCGAACATGTTTTCCCAAAAAAGAAAAATCTAACATGTCCAGAAAAGACAGTCATATTATTTTTGAACATGTTCTTCTACCTATCATTTTCAAGCATGTTTTTCCAATTATTTTTGAACATGTTCTACCACCTACGCATTCATAATGAACCATTTAAAGTTTTCTAACTTGAATATAACTTTCAAATACATAATAAATCTGAGAATTAATGCTGGCTTCTATTATGTGAACTATACGAATAGAAGTATCTCCTACCTTTTCTTCCAACTTATCTTTCTATCCATATCCATATGAAATTGTGATAAATGTCATATTTTGATAACATTAATAATATTTTAATACACTTGTCATCATTTCACATAGGTACTAGAAGAAATTCAATGTAACTGATGGCATGAATTTTCACCAAAGGAAATTAGTGGTGTAGATTTAGTTTCTTGGAACAAAAAAAGGCAATATAGAAGAAGATTTTAGAAAGCAAAACACAACAATGACCCATGACTAAACAGGTTTTGATTTCTGAACAGTCTCAAAGTCTAAAAGTCTGGTAGATTAAAAAAAAGAAAAAAAAAAAAAAACTTGAAAAGGAATTCTAGACATAACAAGAACAAAATGAAAGCCCTTTTCTTTTCCCTCAAACATCGACAGAATGACCAGCTGAAAAAAAAAAATAATACATTCGTTAGTACTATATTTCTATTTCCTAGATAAAAAGGACTCCAATATGCAATGTGTGTGTAACATACCATGTGGCTGTTTTGCATCAGTTTCTTCCATTTTCACAAAAATATCAGCCAAATGCCTGTTTTTACCAAAGTATTCAAAGATGTATGTGCACAGCCTGTCAAAAACAAAATCACATTACATTTAATTTATAATTCAATTGATGGATGCAATAATAAGATTCAAGAGACTCATACTCACTTGCTTAATGCTTGTCTTTTTGGAGGAGAGATGATCATGTCATTGTCATTAACTTGATCATCAGCATAAGTGTTTTCTTTGAGTCTCTTTTGCTTAAGCCTCTCATTACAAAAAAAAGTCCAAAGATCCATGCCAGCACCATTGCGTTCCCTCCACATCTCATGGTATTCCATGTACGATCCATCCAGCTCTATTATTAAAAAAAGAAATATAAAATTCCATTTCAATAATTAAAAAAAAAAAAAAAAAAGTATGTTATTGTTATGTTATGTATATCAAGTTTCTTGGAAAACGCACCTCCTACTTCTTCAATGTTTGCTTCTTTGACAAACTTATCAGCAATTTTTCTAAACCCATCATTCCTCAACGAGTCAACAAGGTAACGTGTCAACCTGAAAATACAAAAACACAAACTCACACATCACAAAACTATATCTTATTCATATATGCTTATCAAAATTAATAAAGATTTAAATGACTCACAGCTCAATCTCATCTCTAGGAACCAAATCAGTGTCCATTACATCCCATAAACTGCTGGCATCCATTATTATATCCCACAAACTGCAAAAAAAATAATACCACAATTAATTATGAGACTTTGATTAAAATAGAAATCTAAAGCTCGATCCTATCATTACAAACAGAACAATCATCTTGGTTTACTCATGTCATCATAAATGGGATTTAACAACTACTTCACATATAAAACCACATTATAGGCTATAACTATCATTGTATTTGCCTTAAGGCTTTAAGCAATTGATTCTCTTTATCTTGACAACACAAACTTCATATTATATCAAATAAACCAAAACTTCACTATCTTGGAGTAGTAAATTCACAAAATTCATCTTCATACCAAAACTTAGGTATTAACGCTTTAATACCTTAAACTAATATTACTTATGTAAGCTAAAACCCCAATAATAGCATATAAAATATCAAAACTATAGGCTCGTAGTAGCATCTAGATAACAAAATCCTTCATGATGATATCAACATATCATACTCACAATTTTAATTGTAGGATTGAAATAGGATAGCTATATAGACCATTAGAGATCAACAGTCGTCCTGTCTTCTCATGGATTACTCAACTCAATGTAAAAGGTTCTACACTCAAATTTAACCCTATGTAAACGATAATGCACATCAACTCATAAGGTTATCCAGTCAAATCGACTTAACTAGTATACGTCTAGGTGATGCATTGGTCTTCCCCTCGGTCTTTTCTGTTTATCAGAAACATTAATCCGCCATGGAGACGCACACAAGGGGACACCGCCACACATTGGCGACGGCGGCCTAAAAACGATCGATCGGATAGTTCAGACAAGGTGATTCGAGCGTTCAATGTGGCATCAAGGGGCTGTTTCCAATAACCTAAACACCGATCACACATGGGGCTTCATCTCATAATCCGATGAGATCAGTAACCACCGGAAAACAATCCATTAAACGAAACAATAATTTAAACGCAGCAAAGTTAATCGACTCTTACCGGAAACGCAAGGTTGCACGATATCGCAATGTCACTGCAAAACGCACCTCTGAAATCTGAATGGATGGTTATACGCCTATTTATAGGGTTGTATGCAAACGGAATTTTACATTCTTTTGACTTTGCCCCCTCTATATTGTTTTCTAATTCAAAACTTTATCTTTACTTTTTCCTTTCCTTTTTTGTTTCGGGATTTCTCATCTTTTTCCTTTATTGTTTCCACGCTTCTACTCGTAATTATCTTTCCTCAACTTAAATAGTATTTGATAATTAATTTAATTAATTATAACCAGAGAGGTAACCCTTGCTTCGCAAGGGTCAAAGGTGTTTGCATTAAAAGTCAACTACTTGACGACTCTTTGTACAATTTTAACTTTAATATTGTTTTCTATTTACAAAATGGAAATGAAATAATAAAAAAATTCCAATTGTTGAAAGATTTTTTCTACTGCCCTTCGGGATAAAAAAAAAAAGCCACCATATGTGTTTGTATCAGTTGGTGTCAAAGTCTTGTAGAAGAATTCAGTCCAATGTCTACTTGGTTTCATGCCAAAGTCCAGAATCAGAAGAACATCTTTTTCCTGATTCCAAAGTTTATAGAAGAAAAGGATAAGTGCAAAAAACACTAATATACTTTACGTTATGTTTGTATTATAGCATCTCACTTCCATTTATTTCTATTGTAACATTATACTTTAAAAAAAATCTTATTAAGACATTGTAGTTTGTAATGTCTACCCTCAATCATTAAAGTGCATTGCTATTTATTGAAGTTAGAGTTATTTGACTTTTTAAACTATCGTAATTGATTTTTATCTACAGAGAGCATCAATCTACTATTTTGTAGTAAAAATTTTGAGGATTAACCATAATAGCACAGAAGAGACGGTTTACATAAAGCATTGAAATTTTTGAATGTTATAGCAGTGTACTTTTATTCATGTATTTTTTTTCCTTATAACATTGTACTTTCAAAGTACAATGATTAGAAAAGATGCATTTTAAGAAAATGAAAATATTAAAATAATTAGGGGCTGATGCACATACACACACAAACACGCAGACTAAGCAATGGTGAAAAAGTACACTGCCATTTCAAAATTTTATAAAAATATTGCAGTTGCAGAATTAAAAAAAGGTTGTTACTGTCAAAACTGTAAACATTGCTAGGGGTGTTTTCTTGCAATGTACTTTCATTATGACCAAAGTACCCCTTACGATGCAAATAAACCATCAAACACCCCTTAAGGCATTTTATTAAAAAAACTTACATGCTTGCTTAACTTTTTTATATTGTACAAGGGAAAAATGGATTTTTTTATCTATGAAAGTTAGTGTGTGTGTGTGTATGTGGGTCTGTGTGTGTTTTCAATGTAAGGGTAAGCTAACAAAGGAAACCAAAAGTCAGTCGATGGTTAAAATGATCTTGAATAAAACTTAAAAGAAAGGTGGAAAAGATCGATAAAACCGTCCCAGATTTCGTGTGAATCTGAAACGTGGTTTTTCCTTTATTATTATAACACAAGTTGGAGTAGTAGAATCCTACAAGTATGTGATGTTTTGAGCACATTAGAATAAATATGGTATGCAATGAATCCTAGGTGCAAAATATAAATAACATGTTACTTTCAGAAATAACAAATCTAGATCAAGAAACATAAATAACCAAAATAACTCTTTGATTAATTGAGAAAATAACTCAAAACTCAATTTGTGAATACAAACCCTTAACCCTACACGGCTAAACAAGATATATATATATATATATATATATATATATATATATATATATATATATATTCTAATCACCGACTTGTGAATTAGAATATGGAAACTAGGAACCGACTTGAACACGGTTTCCTAAAACTAGGTTGCCATAAATTTGTAACGACGTAAATTTTCAAAACAAATTTTTCAGTTTAAATCATATAATCTTCATAACACATTTCATAAAATCTCATTTGTTTAATTTACAAAACGCACTCCATGTTTAATTAATTAATAATCCAGGATCCTCGAAACATAATTCCTTCTCTGGTGTGTACAATCAAGCCGGTGCTGTCCCGCGATCCTGAGAAAACCTAAAACACATAACACATAACACGGTAAGTACGAAGCTTAGTGAGTTCCCCAAAATACCACATACAACAAATTCGACACTCGAGGCTATACTCTGTAAGACCCTCCGGTCAATGTATCTCAGCGGGACCCTCCAGTCCCATAGCTCGTTGGACCCTCCGGTCCGGTCTGGTTGAGGACCCTCTGGCCTCATAAATCGTTGGACCCTCTGGTCCGGTCTGTAAAGCTCCGCATGGCATAAATCACAAAGAAATAATGCACAGCATAAAACATAAGACAGGATAACATAATACTCAATGTAAGCACATAAGACCTTTCGGTCACACATAACTACCACTCAAGGTAAAGTATAGTGAGAAGACTCACCTCGGGTAAACTCGGATGATCTCGAACTCGAAACACTAATCTAGCCTCCGCCTAATCACATACAGAGATTACCTCTAATTAACAATGGCTCTCAAAGGCTAGACTATTCCCTTCTTATGCTCTCTCAGATCGGTTTTGGGCTACCTGTTTGGGCTTTGTTTCTTTGGGCCTTTTGGGCCATCTGAGATCAACTGTTGGACTAAGGGATTTTTTGGGCTTTAGGATAAGGCCCATATGGGTTGGCCCAATTTGGAAAATTGGGCCATTAGTGGGCCTTTGTGGAACTTTTGGTTTTGGGCCTTTATGGTTTTTGGACTTGGGCCTCAGTTTTGGTTCAAGTTGGGTTAGGGGTAAAATGGTCATTTTTGTAACAGTCCAAATTTTTCCAACAAAATTTTTCATTTTTAAATAACAAAATCCTTTCCAATAAGTATAAAATTTCAATCACAATTGTTTTCAAAATCCATAACATCAAATAAATTATTCAAAACATTAGAGTATCCCCAATAAAATGCTAGAGAGTGCATGCCGCGCCATCAAGCCGGGCTCTTGCTCTTAAGTCCTGAAGTACCTAAAATAATCAACAAACTGTAAGTTAATGCTTAGTGAGTTCCCCAGAGCATACCCCACACAATCCACACAATCACTTAAACCATATCAGCCATATAAGCTACATAAACCACAGAAGCCATGCATACAAACATATAAGGATGTCATTGAAACCCTCCAAGGTCTTACATTGGGTGTCATTAGAACCCCCATGTGGTCTTAACTCACTGCCATGGGAACCCCCACATGGTCTTAACTACCTGCCATGGGAACCCCCACATGGTCTTCACTAACTGCTATGGGAACCCCCACATGGTCTTAGCTAACCAAAAGAAATGTCATACAAGCTAAACTTGCAAACATACTAGGATGCCATGGAAACCTTCCAAGGTCTTACACCAAATGCCATGGCAACCCCCCACATGGTCTTAGTCTACTGCCACGGGACCCCCCTGGGGTCTTCCATGCAAGTGTCACATAACACATAATCAACAAGCATATCACATATCATATAATGGGCCGACCTTGGTGCCTTCGACCCATTGGTATGGTGAGGAGACTCACCTCTCAAGAAATGTTGAACCGGTAAGATCAAATCCCAACTCATAGCTCCGAACTCAACTGCCTACAACCACCATATGACTAACTTCATCGAAATCCCGAAATACCAAAGATACCCTTAAGTTCAAACTTGGTCAACCATGGTCAAAGTCAAGGTCAACAGTCCATGTTGACCCAACTCGTCGAGTGCACCTTCCGACTCGTCGAGTTCCACCAGTTCTCAGAAAACCGGGAAAAACCCTAGTCTACTCGCCGAGTTATCACAGCAACTCGTCGAGTTCAAACAGTGTCCAAAAGATCGGGGAAACCCCGGGCCACTCGCCGAGTTGGAAAGGCAACTCGTCGAGTTTGCCCAGTATTAACTCATTCAGCCACTTTCTAAGCGAGTCCAAAGCTCCAAACTATAGATCTGATCCCCTAGGAATGAGTTACCACATAAAGTTGTTATCTTTAAGTCCATTCATGGCATTAAGGGGGCTAAAACACTCAATCATAGCTTATTAAGGGATTTAGGGCATGAAGGAGGGCCAAGACTAGATAAAGATGGCAACTTTAAGTCAAAATAGGCCATGAGATGTCCAGATTTGAAGTCATAGCTTCATGACATGCTCAAATCCAAGAATGACCCCAAAATCAGCTAAAAATGACCACATACTTTCATAGGAGAAGATCTAAGCAATAAAAGGCCAAGGTATCGACTTTATACCTAAAAATGGTTGCCACAACAGAGTAAACACCGGATCTACAACCTCTCCCTTTAGCTATGCACCAACCACTTCAAGCTTCTTCACATAAACACCAAAAAGGCACTCTTTAAGCTCTCACACACTCAAAATGGTAGGAAAAGCACGAACTAGGGTTTCTCTGGACAAAGGGGCGATAAGGGAGGCTAATAATGAGGCTTAAGGCCTTTAAATAAGGTGCAAACCCTAAAAATTAGGGTTTTCCTTTCCAGCATCTACTCGTCGAGTTGGGGCTCCCCAACTCGTCGAGTTAAGTCCCTAACCCACGTCCAAATGAATCCCTACACGACGAGTTAGAGCTCCCCAACTCGTCGATTTCTAGCCTAAAACCCTAAAATGTTGAGAAATAAATAATACTTGGACCAAACGTTGCAATTTTACCCCAAGTATGTATTATGGATCATAGTTTGGAACCCAATTGCTAATTGAGTGTTATCTTGGTATTGATAGCCCGGAGGAATCGTCAAGGCAACAACTAGGGATTTCTTTCAGTGAACTTATGCATTCAAGGTGAGTATCCTCACTGTTTTATGGGTCGAAGACACCAATTCCGGCCCATATGGTTTATGTATTGTAGGAAGACTCGGGGGTAACCCTTGGCAGTTTGTATGAAAGACCAGGAGGCGGCTCGTGGCAAAGTGTATGCAAGACCAGAGTCTAAACTCTGGCAGTTAATTAGTTAAGTAGTGTAGATTTTATTTTAGTTGTCTTTGTGATGCTTGCATGGAAGACCCGGAGGTGGCTCCTAGCACTTGTCTGTAAGACCCAGGGTTGTGACCCCCAGCTTGGCAAGGAAGACCACGAGGCGACTCGTGGCATAATGGCAAGACTATGGTTGACACATAGCACTTTTATTGATTGATTGGATATGGCTGATATGTTTGGCTCATGGTTATGTATGGTATGTGGTGTTTTGGGGAACTCACTAAGCTTTGTGCTTACAGTTTGTGGTTTATGGTTTTAGGTACTTCCGGTTCGATAGGGAAGGGCCCGGCTTGATCGCAGCGCACACACCTATGTTTTTCTACAACGTATGATTTTGGGAATTACTCTTATAATTTTTTTAATTTGGAATACCTTAATGTTGGATAAATGTAAATGGATGTTGAATCTATATATATTAAAAATGAAATTTTTGCACTCGATTTTTGGGATGTTACACAAGGTGGCATCTTAGTAATCCTGGTGTGCTAATGAGTGTTGATGTGTTACTAGAAGGGGGATGCACCACTAAAGGAAATGGTATGTCATCATGACACCTAATGCGTCATCATAACACTTTGATGCACCAGTGGTGGCACCTAGTGCACCAGTAGTGACATATGATGCGCTATCATATGCATGGTTAGGACCAATGCAATGACTCTTAAGGTTGAAGATTCTAGAACCAGGTGCATGACAGATTGTGATTGGTCTACACATTTCATGAGCCTATGGATTGATGGGCTTGACTCATTAGGGTTTTAGGTCCGATCCTTAGTTTATAAATAAGGATGTTTGTTAAGTCATTCATTGGTCTTGATCTTTGTATATTTTATCCTTAGTGAGTAGGCGAATCTTTGTTGGTTGTACTTGTAATCTCTGTTTGAGAACTCTGTGAATAAGAATACTCTCATCCTGCCTGTGGACGTATGTCACCTTGACCGAATCACGTAAATAGTGTGTCTAATGTGTATGTGTGTGTGTTTTGTGTGTTTTCCACATTACTTCCTAACAAGGGTTATCAAATCTTGACAAGTGTCGTGTGATTTCCTAACAATAACAAATTTTTGTTTTTGTTTTTAAAAGACCATTTTAATCATGAATGTTTACCCGATTACAATGGTTTTTTGAAAAAACAAAAATAAAAGTTTATTAATTTCTAACAACATTTATTTACGCTATGTTCCCGAGATTATTAAAGGATAGAACAGAAGGGAAAGGAAAAAAGACATAAAAAGAAGGGAGGGAACGAATATATGTTGTATTTTCATGTTAGAAAGGATAATCGTGTAAAGATAATAGATTTGTATTAGGAACATCTATCTTTCTCTTCAAATCCCTCTAATTTGGGAGGAAGATTAGGAGAGAAGATTGACCCACCATGTCAGAACACCTTATTGGGAAATCATTTAGATCTTCATCGCAAATACATTGTCGGACAATAGAACTCATAACTAAATCCTAATACATTACATGCCTTCTATCCCATTATCTAAATAGTGGTCATGTATTAACTTGTGAAAAACTTTATTAATCCTTAACAAGGTTCACCAAGACCCCTCATATAGTTGGATCTAAAAACTCATCGTGCACCCTAATATACTCCCTTCTTTCATTCATGGACGATTACAAAGACAACTGCAAGAAACACAATACTCTGCAACCTACTATCTTTTTCCTCGTTGCTCCCTCTCTTTCTAAAAAGAAAATATTAAAGTAGTTACACAATGAAATTGATATATTATTTTTTAATCTTTATGTTGTTTCATTTCCTCAAACAAAAACATATGAACATGCTTTATGAATAACTAGTGAGAGGCGTTGTCTTATGATTCGAGAACGACATAGATGAACGAAGCAGATTCGTAAGGCGTGGTTTCTGATAAGAAGATGGAGGCGGTGAAGTTACTGTTCATAAAAGTAACGGCAAGAGATTGCATCAGAAGGAATTGAGGAGAAGCGACGGTGGAAGAGTAGAGAAGCAAAATAATCTGATACTAATGTAGGGACGTCCGAAGGAGAGTCAACAGCTCTACGCATGGCGTTTGATCAAGAGAGATGGAGATGATAGATAGAGCGCAAAAAGAGACCGTCGTAGGTAGTTTCGGAGGCTTCGTGTTCGGGTGAGAGAAAGGAAGACGATAAATGAATATGGAAGATAAAAAGACATGTAGTTTTAAGGTGGTGAACTAAAAGTAGGTAAAAGTATAAAAACAGACTGCATGGACCAAAAGTGTGAAAGTGAATAAAAAACTATGGCAAAAACTTGCTAAACCTCTTGTGCATTAATATGTATATATTAATGATATAAATGGATAACAAACTATCTAAAATGTTTTAAAAATACCATCAAATTAAATAAAAATTATGAAAAATAATAAACTTATATTTTGATTTTAGTAATCCATCGTGGCTAATTAGCCACCATAGGCGGACGCATGATTTCATAGTAGGGGTGACACGAAAAATTTAAGTAGTTGCATGATAGTAAAAAAAAAATCAAATTTTTTTGCACTGCATACGGAAATATTATGCGTTGTTGGTGCCACTACGGACATCATAACAAAACTGCCCCTGCTAACCATGGAAAAAAACCACCAATCCCGAATAAAATTATTTTTTTATAAAAAGCAATAAAAAACTTGTTGTCTTCAAACATCATTGTTTTAGCTTTAGTAGTTTTTTTAAAAGAGAGTTAATACTTTCACTTAAAATTAAAATGTTTTGACATTTTTGTCCTTATATAAAACTTTAAAAAAGTATGGATAGAGTTTTACGGGTTAAATGAGAGTGCCACCGCTTATCCCTTTAACCCATTCAAGCATTTCTTATCTTTTCCCTTATTTATAAATTACAAAAAATTAATTTGTTTTCTTATTTATCATCAAACACACTTAAGGATGCCTCTCACAATTAATTCATTTAAACGTGAGTTTTTTTTTTTCTTATTTTTCATTTGGAATATAAAATCTAACAAAAAAATAATTTATTTTCTAATTTATTAATTCATTTTCTTATTTATCCATCAAATCCACTAGGCATAATATGTAACAAAATGTTCACGTTAAAAAAAGTTTGACATTCCAAAAATATTAACCCTACTCCAATTTCATCTCATCACTTAAAACTATTCAAAAACACAATAAAATGTTCAAACTAATACACATCAAATCACAATACATCACAACAAATATTGCTGAACAAAAATATTCAAATCATAATAATATTAAAAAAAAATGTTTAACGGTACAAAAATAGTCACCCTATTCAATTTCATATGATCACTTAAAAAGTTGGATATACATTAAAGAAGATACATATATAATATGAAAAAAAAAACAGTAATATTTACAAAGATTATAGTTTTAAATTGTTGTAAAACATTAGTTTTCACATTAACCTTTAATAACTATTTGGTTTTTTTAATATTTTTATGATTTAAATATTTTTGTTGGTATATTTATTGTGATTTGATATATATTAGTTTGAATATTTTAATATGATATATATTAGTTTGAAACATATTATTTTTCGTTACATCTTATTGTGATATGCATCAATTAGTAGGTTTCATAGATAAATAAGAAAACAATTTTTTTTTGTTAGATTTTATAGTAAGTGATAAATAGGAAAAAAAATCACAGTTTATAAATAAGAAAACAAATTAATTTTTGTAAAGGATAAATAAGGGGGAAACGCTTAAATTTTTAAGTTTTAAACAAGGGTAAAAATGTCGAAAAAATTTTAATTTTAATTTTAATTTAAGTGGAAGCAACTTAACAAATGGAAATATCATGTCCCTTTTTTAAATCGTTACTGATCACTTTCTGTGTTGCCTTGCCGGGAGAAACAGTTGAGTAAATGGCAGCTCCAGCTAAATGCTTTCTCGTCACTGGCTCCCCTGTAAGTTGTATAGATTCCATGTCTCATTCATCATTTGATTCCATATCTTCATGAATCAAATTGAATCTGAATTTGTTTGAATCGCGTTTGTATACCTTCGACTCCGCAGGGCGTGGGTAAAACCACTCTGATCGCTAGGGTTTTGGAGAATATCAGAACTTCCAATCCCAATTTGAAAATACAAGGGTTTTTCACTCGTAATGCCCTATCATTCCATATTCTTCCATCGCTCAAATAGGTTTTGATTTTCGCCTTCGTTTACTCATGAAATTTGGGATACAAAACAGGTGAGATCAGACAAGATGGCGAGAGGGTAGGGTTTGAGGTGGTTACGTTAGATGGTCGCACTGCTCCACTTGCTTCTATTAACAATTCCAGGTAACCATTTCTTCATATCTTTTCATCATTCAACGTCGAATTAGGGTTTAATTAAGTTTTCCATGGCAGTGTAGAGTCCATTAGATGGCCTACTGTGGGAAGATACAGAGTCGATGTAGCATCATTCGAGTCATTAGCTTTGCCTGAGTTACAGGTTCGTTTAGCTTCATCTCCAATTTCTCAGTAAGAAGTTGATTTTCGATTTCATTTTCAGGTCAAAGAAGATACAGATCTGTTTGTGATTGATGAAGTTGGAAAGATGGAGCTCTTCAGTCCGTTGTTCTTCCCTACAGTGTTGCGTGTTCTTGAGTCTAACAAACCGTTTCTAGCTACAATCCCTGTTCCAAAATACGGTCGAGATATTCCTGCAGGTATGCTTGTTAATTATCAAAAAAAAAGTCAGACATGGAAATGCTTTTGTTCATGTTGTGTATGAAGAATGTATGATTCTTGTTTTCTGCAGTTGCAAGGTTGAAGAATCATCCAGGAGCGAAGGTGTTTACTCTAACAACAAGCAATAGGGATGATATGAAGAATCAGATATATTCTCAATTAACTCACAACCTTGTTTAACTTTTCAAAAAATAATGTCATCTCTCTCTTACTCTGTACACATTCACCAAACCAACTTCTGTTTCTAAAGAATCAAACACAAACCTTTCAAAAGAAAAACACACAAACATGTATATGATGATATCATGAGGTTCTTCGATCATTATTTTCAGCAGTTCGCAGCATCTCTTTTGCCATTGAAGAAAATGTCTGCGCGTTGTCTTGCATTTCTGCTGTTTTTAAATTGATTCCCTGGACAAATCATATGATTAGTGTCTCTGCTTTTGACTTTTTTTGACTTTTAACTGTCTTGAATGTTACTTAAAATTCAATAGTTACCTTGAGTTTTCTTATGTTGTCGCTCAGTTTGTTTTGTGCCATTTTAGCAGCACTTGTTTCCTGCCACGTCAGCAAAAAAACAGATCAATAATATTTCTATAAAATGCAATTTTAGCAGGACTTCATAAATTAAGCTTACACTGGTCAAGCTGAATCCATATTTTTTCTTGATTTGATCTACAGAACCGGTTTTCTGATCGTCTCGTGGTTGTTCTTCCTTCACTTGCACTTTCTCCTTTTTCACATTCATCTCTTTTAGTTTACCTGTATATATATAAAAAAAAATTAAAAATTATCTCCAAAATTTAATTTTCAAGATATATTAAGTTGAAGTAACTAACCTTTGAATGCATTAAATTTACTAGTGAGCTTTTGTTTGTTAAGCGCTCCCATCATGGTGTTTCCTTTTGGTTTCTCTTCTGGCCCATCAATGTCAATATCATCTACAACAAAAGATTTAAAAATGTTGTTTATATTTATTCAAAAACAAAATGTGAATGAATGTACATTGTACAAAGGTCAAACCTACCTATATCCAGGTCAACCTCATCTTCATCTGTGTGGATGTTTTCTTGGCTTTCACTCTCCAATGCAAAGTTAGCAATGGAAAATAATGTTGACAGTTCTTCAAAGCTTTCTCTAGAAGCTTCCGGTTCTGTTTCCCGCTCGTGTTGTGGTTTGCTTACTTTCTTCATAGAACCAAAGATTCCCTGTTTGCATTAGGGTAAAATGGTCATTTACTCATATTCAAACTTTGTGCATACATAACAAGCCCTAAGACTCTATTATGATAATAACCTTTTTCTTTTCTTTGACATGCTCAAGCGGAATCCCTTGTGGAACTATCAGGTCCTTGTTATAAACTCGGGTAGCTGAGTCTAAATGCCTGAATATTTCCCTTTGTTGTAAAACCGAAACAATAAAAACTTCCTTATCACCATTCACCTATACAACAAAAGTTTTCAAATTCAATAATGTTTATGTTACATTTAAAAGAATCTGATATTTCTGAAATGAAAAGCATATTACCATGATAATATCACCACTGTGTGAAGCACAGATTGAACTATCAGGTAAAGAATTCGGTTTTGAAGTTGAAAGTGCAAGGCCTCTTATGGATGTTGCCTTCAAAAGGGTTAATTCAGGCAAGGATCTGAAAAAAGTAAATAATATCAAAATCATGTTCATCAACTTTTTTATTCAATCAAAATCTAAATATGAACTATGAAGAAGATAACTCACCTAATTTCAATTTTCCCATTGGTAAAAACAAGAACAAGGCCAGCATCAGAACAACATGTTGAAGCCCAACAACAAATTGAGGAATTAAACTTCTTTTTATAGCAAACCTTCTTCACTCCCTGTATATATATATATATATATATATATATATATATATATATATATATATATATAAAATTGAGTATACGAGAGTATATAAATATGTCAAGAAAATTAATTCTTCAAGTTCTAACCTGAACAGCATGTGAAAGTGAATACACGTAAACAGCTTTCTCAGAACATAGTAGCAATGAGTCCTTCACTATCCCATCATCAAACGAATTTCCTATTATACCCTTAGATGCATTAGATCCTCTTCCAGCTGTCCCTTGCTCATCTATATATTCATATGTCACATTTGTAACACATAAATAAAGAACAATACAAAAAAAATAAAAAGTATGATTTATTTACTACCTAACATTTGGATTAAAAGAGCTTTAGAAGGTTTTTTAGGATGAACTGATCCATTATTGAGTATATTTCCTGTTTCACTTTCAAGTGCCCAAGCTGATGAATCCTTTGTTGCTGCCATTAACACACTTTTCTCAAATCCATGCAAACTACACATCCCAAATTGCAGAGAGATGACAGCTGTCGAGATCTCACTCGCTATACGCCTTTCATATAACACAGTTCCTCCTCCAATGTCAATCACCGAAACCTTCATCATTTTTTTTTAATTTATGTTAATTTAGTTACAAAAAGGGCAAAAAAGGAAGAAAAAAAAATATATGATATCTTACATATCCTTGATCTGACCCCACAGCAATATGTTTAGAGTCATGACTTGTAGTTAATGAAACCACTGCTCCATTCACCTTCACAAGTTTAACACTTTGAACAATATTGCTTCCTTTCTTTGAACTTGCTTGTAAGGACAAAAAACTGCTCTCTATGGCATATGGCTCGGGTTTAAATTTATAAATTCTAACCTGTGACATAAAATATTAATTTTAAATTGAAATGTAACATATTTTTACAATATGATATATAGATATACTTACTGTTCCAGTTTGATCTCCAGATATGAGGAGGCGTGTTTCCATATCATAACACAATGCAGTCAGTGGAACACCACTTAAAGTCTGATCATCTTCACTTTGTTGATTAAATGATACAATTGGAATCAAAAGTGGAGATGATGCATCCCAGAAGTTTATACCACCATTGCTATGTCCTGTTATGTATATGTTTTTAAAATTTGAAAAACTCGTAAAACCAGATGTAGAAGATGAAGATGAAGATGAAGATCCGTCTTTTTGCTTAGCCTCAAATGAGAAAAGTGAAGGAATCTTTTTCGACATCAACATGTAGTCCTCATTGGAAGATAACATTAACATGCATGGATTGTCAGTGATGAACTTTGCTACAGTGATGATTGTGTCAACATATGGTAGTTTCACTTTAATCTCTTTTGGAAGTGATGAAGGTGGAGACCTAGTTTGGGATTGAATTAGGTATTTTTCAATTGAAGAATCATCGTATGTATAAACATGGCCTGATTTTCCAAGAACAAGAAAGCAATCCTCTTTATGTTTGGTTTGTTCATTGTAAGAGACTAAAATCTCCATGTCAACACATGGCTCAGGTGTTCCAATTCCAAGTTTAGTTGTGCGTGATTCAATCTGATCATTTATTATAATAACCTGCAACACAGAATCAAACAATTAATCTATCAATCACCAAATAAAACCCTAAAAAGTTGAATCGAGTATATGAATTAGTAGTACCTGTAACAAGTTTGGAGATGAAAAGTCGGAATTGCCCAGAACATATAATCGACTTGATTTCCCATCTGCATAAGCCCATTTCAATTTGGAAATTGGGATTTTGTCCAATTTATACCCAAGATTTAGTTTAAACAGAGGGCCACTTTGGGTCCCACCTAACTCCTTATCATCAATACTCCAAATCAGAAGTTCTCCATTGTTGTATCCAATAACTACTTTGCTTCCAAAAGGACAAGCCCAACATGCAGCTGTTACTTTTTTAATGTCATGATTAAGTGACTGAATCAAAGTTCCTCCAGTTGTAAAGATGGGTTTGCTTTCTTGAATTGACCATAAACTGACAAATCCATCTCTATAAATTATAAGAATCCTGAAATAGTGAAATAGATTCAAGATTGTGAGCCATGATTCTTGTTTTCTTGAGGTTTTTAAGAGTTTGTAAAAGTTTAATTGATTTTGAAAAATGAAAATCACCTCTTACTTTCAGCAGATGGTTGAGGGAGTATATACATAACAGCAGCATTGGTATGATCCGCTGTTGAATTACCTAAATATAATTTATTATAATAATGTAAAACATGTAACAAGATTGGATTTTTATAAAGAAATGTGACTCACACTCACCATGAGATGCTGAGAAAGGAATTATGTATTTCATTTGTGTTATATTACATTGTTCTTTGTCAAACTTGAGAACTGAAACATTACCAATGGAGTCTCCAACATACCTGTTGATGACATAATCATTATAACCTTGTACAATTGTATAAAATTGTATAAATCCTAAACATGGTTATGGATTTTGTCTTTTTGAGAGTTGTTATATACTTACATGTAAAAGGTATGTTGAAGGATTGTAAAAGATGTAATTTCTTCCTTATATACATGGACATGAGCCAATGAGTTCAAGTCTATGTTCCAAACCTCGATATGATTGTTTGCATTGATGTTTATAAGAAACTGTTGGTTATGGATGAACTGGAAATAAAAAAGTAATTAATTAGTAAACAAGAGGGTATAATGGTAATTTGGTAATTTATAATTTACATACCTGCAAAAATTTGCTTGGTAGTGGCTCTGGAGATTCCAATACTACTTGAGTGTTATCTTGTCCAAATAACTTAATCCGGCCATCTCTATTGAAAAAGTAAATAATTATTTATTAAGATATTGAATGAATTTTTAAGAACATTTTGATGTATTAAGAGTGTTACATGGTGGATATAGCAAGAATCTTCTGAATAGGATCATGAGCAAATAAATTGCATCCTGATGGGAGGCCATAATGGAAAATGGGGCGTGGATTTACATCGTCGGATTTTAAACTATCTGGTTTTCCTCCAGGCTGCAGTACAATTATCGATAGTAGTGATTATGAGTTTAAAATAATAAGAATAATAATAATAATAATAATAATAATAATAATAATAATAATAATAATATTAAAAGTATTGATTTGGGTGTTAAGAGTTAAGACATTGCCATGTGGGGAGCTAATAAATTGTCGGTGAAAAATGATATAATAAGTTACCCAATAAAAAATCATTTACGTTTCCTCGTATGTAAATTTGTGGATCAGGTGAGGATTAATTAAAGATTAACGATTTATTAATGGTTTTTTTTTAACAAAGAAAAAGACATGTTTTGACTGTTTTGATTATTAGGTGGCCAATTATGTCATTTAGCTAACAAATTTAAAACTCTTGCTGTTTAAAACAATATTAACTCAGACTTTTACCAAGTATAGTAATATATCAAAATGCATTCACATTTACGGATTTACTCCTTTAAAGATTTATCTTTTTGTAATAAATGTTTTGTTCCAGTATTCCAATCTCTTTTCCCCTCAGAATTTTTTTTTTTTTTTTTTTTTTTTTTTTGAAAATTTATCTGGACGTTAGAATTCTGTAAAATGTTGAAAAGAAGAATTCCGGTTGATAACAAGGGGAAAATTTTTTAATTTAGCTCCTTAACATTTGTCCGGTGTGTTTTTACTCATTATTCAATGATAGTTCCCCCAATTAGCAGTCACAATCCTTCACGCTTTTTCATAACAGGAAAAAAAAAAAATGAATCCAAACAAAATGAGAGTGTAATCGATCAGCGATCAGGACGAGGGAGAAGTTCTGGATCTCAGTTTAAATCCAAAAACCTGTATTTAGAACTTCATAACTCATCGGAAACTAAGATAATCACTAATCGGCAGTATAAACAAGAGCGTTTCAGTATATCACACACAGATATGTATCACGACATCTCAGATTAATATACAAATCACTAGCTTTTGATAATTAACAGATAAAGCTCGAATAAACAAACGTTACCTTCTTCAACGAAGCCTTTTCGACTAGCTTTTTGACGAACATTTCCCAAATCAACACCAATAACTTCAATTTAAGGCACTTCAGGACGATCTGCTGATAAATAAGCAATTAATTTACGATCTGCCGGAGAAAAATAGGAGATGTCCGGCGGAGAGGGAGAGTTGAAGAATGTGTGCTTGCTGCTTAGTGAAAACCGCCGTGAAGTAGTCGTAGAACGGTTGCTTACAGTTTTTTTTCCTAATTGCTTTCAGGATTTTATAATTTGGGAAAAAGACAGCATCCGAGATATTCTGTATTTATTTCAACAAATGTTTCGATTTACCCCTTTAGGTATAATACATAAACAATAATGTGCCTTCAACACTTTAACAATTTAATTTCAAGGCCCTAAGGTTACATGATTGTTCTGAACACATGAACTCATATCTTCTTAATTGAGAAAGTTATTTCTTACCATAGGTAGTATATATTAGTAGCCATTACAATATGTTATGATTGATTTTTGATTGGTAACTTTTTTAATTTTTTATAAATGACATTTTAATATTTAAAAAGGGATTATTTTTTTGGAAAGAGAAATTTCATAAATTAAAAAAATACCATATCTCATATTGGCAAAACGAGTTAAGAACTTTTATCCTTGAATTCAAAGTGCTATAGTATTTCATAAATCATAAAAGTTTACATAGACGTAGCGGATAAATGAGCAATAAGTTGCGTACAATCTCTTTTTGAATGACAAAACTAATTCTTTTAAAAAAAATTTATAGATCTTGCGGTCATAACATTACTATAAAGTTGGATTCTATCAAAGTGCTTTATGGACAAGATAGATATAATAATAGACAAAACACATGATAAAACTCTCATGGTCAAATGGATAAAGTCAGAATTTTAAATTCACTTATATATATTTCTGATACTTTTTTGTATGATTTATCAATCTTTCTTTGAGATCTTTTACGGAAGTAGACTATCAATCTTATGGATTTACCTCATTTATACGAGATTGTCATTGTGGTAATGTTATTGTTGCTTTTATATATAGTTTTTCTTTTATAGGTCATAAATATAAAATAGAAAAATACCTAAATAATAAAATGGAATGAACAGTATCCCCAAATATACATTTTCGATACATACAACCTTCTAAATTATTTATTTAGAACTAGAAAGAAACAAAAAATAATAATAATAATAATAATAAAATATACACTATCTTTCTGTTCATGGTTTGATGCCAAAAAAAAAAAAAAAAAAAAAAAAAAAGAACAAAGAAAATCGCCTCATGGTCTGCATGGTGTCAAAGTTGTTGAATTGGACTTTGACTTGGTCAACTCACACTCACCTGGAAATTCATTTATTTTAATTATTGATCAATCTACAAATTCTAGTTTCCTATACCAAGCTTCAAAATTACTGTCTTTGATTTCGTGGAATGCACAATACACATTAATCTAGGATATTTGAAGTTGATAACTTTATTGGTCATATCAGTCTAGTCAATTCATCAAATATCTTCTTAACTCACCATTATAATGTTTGTCGCATAGTTTTATAGAAATAGAGGGACTAAAATGTGTAATGTAAAAAGACGAGGGGCCATTAAAAGGGAAATGGTGAGACTTGAGAGACACTGATGTGAAGACACATGGCGATCAATGAGGCTGATCCGGAGATTGCAAGAAAAGGAAACCGGGTTTAATGAGTCTGATTTGGTACAACTGTTGGAAACGACAAAATAAAATCCAATTAGTAAAGAGATGAGAGTGGCTCCCAGCCACGTGGACTTCATCGGCACCCTTGATTTAAAAGTGGGACCCATTTTTTATTTTTTGCAATAGATCTGGTCTTTGGAAGCACATGACTTTTAATAATGACGGACACCTAAGCCTCAGACGAATCATGTTCAACCATTACACACCTTTTAGATGAATCTCGTTCGTTGGTGGTGCAAAAATGAGAGCTTGTATTACTTTATTAAATCGTAAGTTGTATATCAATTTACAAAATTTCATAACGTGGCTTTCACCTATTAGAATTGGTAAAAAGTGAATCATTACAGTTAATATCTACAATTCTTCATCATCTCTCTTATTGGCATACATAATCTTCACTTTAAATCTTTAATACGCTAGGAAGTAGGAATCAAATATAAAAAAATAAAGCATTCACACCACAAATTACAAAATTCAGAAAAGTACTATATAGTAAAAACATTTATTTATTTATTTTATTTTATTAACAGAAAATAACAAAAAATTGATAATTGTTTATAGAGAATTACAAGACACCAACAATCATTTACACATTTTGGATTTTGGTCAATAATCTTGGTTTTTAACCGGTAATCATAAAAAAAAAATGTGTAAACTTTTGTAAAAAATGCCAACTAAAATCCTAAATGTGTAAACTACTGTCATTTTCTGTAAACAGTTACCAGTATTTTGTCATTTTATGTTAAAAAAAATTAAGTCACAACTTTAGCGTTAATAACTCTAGAATATAAGGACTTTCCCAATTTAGAATGCATAATGACATTCACAGTAATTAATATCAATTGATATGTTCGAAATATATTAATTTAAAAATATATATAGCAATACATGTATCAAAATAGAAAGAAAAAAAAAAGATGATATGATTTATCCAATTATAAATTATAGACGGATCACATTCGTATAAGTGTGACTTATGATGCTAAAATCCAAACTTAATATGATTTATCCAATTATAGATTATAGACGGTTCAACCCCTAATATAAGAAATGAAAAAATAGAAAATGCCAAAAGTACTGAACATGTTTTTATTTCTCTAAAAGTAGATGCAACATGAAACATGAAACATGTGAAACTCATTTGTTAAAAAGACAAGATTTGATGGAAAGATATGTTTATACTTTATCATTGACCTAACCGTTGAGTTGCACGCTCGAGACTTGGTCTATGTCGGCTCAACCCACGCCATGACCCACATGAACCACGGTTCCAATTTCCAAGCTTACCAATCTGTTTATGCAGCACCACCATGTCCACAAGTGCCACAGTTGTTGGCCTTCCATGAGCACACTACAATCACATTTCACCATTTTTACTAAAATACCACAACTCCAAAATGTAAAACGAATAACTATAATAATAAGTTTCTTTTTAAATACTTATCAACTCTCACCTGAAAACACAATGAAGTCTTCTTGAGCTCTTCAACTATAAGAGAACATTCTGAAGGGAGTAGTGCATCACCAAACATTATTGCACCTATTTATTTTAAATAATTAATAAAAGTAACAACATATCTTGATGATTCTTTATAAGAGCTTTATTAAGACATTTTATGAATGGTTAAGGACTACACTGTACCCCTGCAAGCTTTGGTATTTAGAACACGAACAACAGCTGGTGGTAGTATAGATGATCCATCAGTATCAGCAAGCTGATATATATAGGTTAGAAATTGTGAATTAGATATATATATATATATATATTATATTAATTATTGTACAATGAAAAGAATTATTCAACCATATATTTCAAAGATAAAAACCTGTTTTAGAAATTCTAGGAGATCTGCATCGTTTAATTTCACACCCAAAATACATGGCACCTGTATGCCAAATAAAAAATGGATATGTTATTTTTAGTTAACAACTAAAAAACCTCTTTTTAGTGTTTCTTTCTTCCAAGTTTTTTTTATATCAATAATGTTAAGAATCCAACTTACTGCAATGAGTGTAGCAACAGATGGTTGATTGTGTAGAAAATTCAGATTCCTGTGCAACAAAAAAAAAAAAAAAAAAAAGGAAAGCCTTCAGAAATTATTAAAAAAGAAATGCAAATTTTTATCAAATTCAAGTAGGTGAATTTGATTACTTCTTAAAGGACACTGAACTCTGAGCATGAAAGTTACAAATCCAACCCCATTTCTTGATTTGTTCAGAATAATTGATCAGTAATTGATATCCAATCTCAGGTAAAACCTACATCACATATATAAAATTATAAAGAATAAATCAAAAAAAACAAATCTTCATAACTAAATATTGATTGCAAAGTAGAGCATACCAGTTCTTGCTCTGTATCCAAATAGCATATTGTCTTCATTTTTCCAGAAAGCACCTACAAATTTTGCTTGTCATTTATGCCATATCATGTGGTATTTGAAAGCTCAAGTTTTTTTTTTTTTTTTACCTTTTTCTCAAATCTTCAAGTCGTATTCTTTCATCAGCAGCATGCTGAAAATGTAACCATACAAGTGGTTAAAGAAAAGAAGATGAATGTGAAAAAGAAGATTGAGAAGAGTTAATATACCTGATCAATAATAGCAAGTATTCCACCACCCACAATTGGAATGAATTTTTTGTCAACTTGTTGAAGGACTTTAGAATCATCCAGACATTTTTTACTGATAGATTTGGGTGTAAGTGTAAGAGAATCACCAGAAAGGTGTAATATCCCAGAAGATATGTCAAGTATTTTATCCTCATCACCCTTCTTCTCTATATTCTGTCAAGTGTAAATAAACAAACAAATAATAATCACAAATTCCAAATTTATATATAATATTTGTCAAAGGCACTCAACTGAATCCCATGGATAGCCCCTCCGCCATTTTTCCCCAAAATCTAATGCACCTTCATTGTCCCTTGAGGTGAAGTCTGAAGAAGGAGATTAATAGTGTAAGATTTTAATAATCAATAATCCATACTTTTATATAAGGTTTCTTTTTCTTTTATTTACTTGTTATTTGGTTCTGATTTCTTGTTATCACCATGCTTTCTCTTCATAATTATTCCTGAAATTAACAACAGAGATACCTGAATCTGTATTGAATACATCAAGGCAATGGGCAGCCTCCCCTTCATAATCTGAAATCTCAGCTTTATCAATAACTTTCTTCTTATCGTGTCTAGAAAGGAAAAAAAAACAACTGCATGAAACCAAATATGCAGATTCAATCCACCATATACACAAGATTTGGTGATTTTACCTAGCCTTAGTGGGACCCTCACCCTCCTCCAGTAGCAAATGATCTACACCTGATGATTTCTGTACATGCCTCAGATCACTAGCTTCTGCACACCAAAACCATAATTCATAAGAGTTAGCTTTCCATATTATGTCATATAGAGGTTAAGTTCAGAAAACACCTTGTAAAGAGGCATTATGAGGTGTCTCAAATTGGGAGTTCCCTGATTTAACACTCATCTGACTATTTAAAGCAATAAACTTTCTCTTCCCTCTGTAAGATGGTGGAGCTGAATGGCTTCTTCTTCTTTGCTGCGTCTTATCTTGAAAGCTAGATTGAGTTACTTTTGTCTTTTTTACCCTTTCACCACAAGATAATGATGACATATAGGATTCAGGACTTGCCCAATCTATTCCATTCATGAAATCACACAAAAGAGTGTCCTTTTGAGAGTTCCTAACATGCCCTTTGCAACTCATATACCCCTCTTGAGAAGAGCTATATCTCATGTTATCAAAGTCAAAGATATCCTTCTCCCCTTCTTCATCTGCAAAAAGGTCAAACCAATCGTCTCTGCGAAGTTTGAAGTCAACATCATCTCTAGATTCATCAAACATAAGGGGAGACCAATCAGATTGATGCTTTGATGCAACTGGAGTATCCCAAGGACTGTTATTATTCTCTGTAAAGCAGTCTTCATTAGTCAGAAGTGAATCAAATGACTCTTTTGGTAAAAAAGGTGAGTCTACACTCAAGTTTGAAGTATTGATGATGATTCTAGGAGGTGACCAAACAGTTGTATTTTTGTCCAGCCATGATTCAGAACCCTGAATTATATTATCAAATTCATCATCTTGAATTTTTGTAACAACAGGTGACAGATCTAAGTGAGAGGAGCAGCTTCTCAGAAAGGGCTTTATGAGATGATTATCAAAATGAAATTGGATAGGGGGCGATTCTTTGAGAAGTAATTTGTTGTTTGGATTCCATTTGGCATTTGAAAGATGGCTTATGTGTTTGGATTCTGTTGGCATCTGTAATTGAGGTGAGGAAAGGACAATAGAAGTCTCATGGGACCATGTCACACGCCTCTTCTTTGGAACTCCACAATCATTCAGGGGATCTGATTCACAAGATGTTTCAAAACAAATTTAATAATGATTGAATTAATCAAAAGTGATTTCTTGAGTTTATTAGAAGGAAAACCTTGACTCCAAAAGCATGAAACGGCTTTCTTAATGAAAGTAATTACAGGATCCCAGTCCTAAAACAATGATAAAGATGGTTCAATGATAAGACAATAGTCCACCTCAATATACACATCATAAGTCAAAGGTCATGCATAGATATTAGTTTATGACCTTGAATTCAGCACAAGTCTTTGTGGGTTCAAAACTTAAATCATAATGAGCTCGAGGACAACTTAAGTTCAATATGTAGGTTAGACATGCCTGACACCTGCTCCTCTTTCCACATTCAGATCTAATGTCACCCTTCAACAACTCTGATTCTGTAGCCAACTGATTCAGCAACTTATGTATTGGACCTCTTGATATATATCTTGAGTTGATATCTTTTTCAAAGGTCAAAGAGAACATTTTCTTTACCCATAAACTCATTACAATAAAGCATAAAATCAATACAAGAACAAGGATACAGAAATATTGGAAGGCCTGCAAAACAAGCAACCTTCAATAAGATGATGAAAACAGAGGAAAAGAGAGAACTTGAAGTGTTCATACCTTCACAGAGAAAGTTTCACAAGGGCTAGATATGAATCCAGAGAGCTTTAATTTGTCATCAGACTCATCCAACTTATGTAAAGAACTGGAAACTTCAGTCCCAAAACTACTCACCAATAGGGGCAAAGGGGAAGATGAAGGATACAAGGAAAGAAGCTCATCACCACTGCATGAAGATGATATTTCTATATGTTAACTTTCTAAAAGTAGCAAGTGAAGGACATAAGCTAAAAGTATGGAAACTTGGAAAGTGAGCACCTTTCAGTATCAATTACTTTGAAGCAAGTTCCAAGGTGAACAAGAGCAATTCTTAGTATGCATTCTTTAACAGAGTGAAGAACCTTTTTCGGGCTTCCAATATATGCAAAATACCATATCAAGTTCAGTAATTTAAAATAATTGAAACAAATTGTGGTTATGAGAAGGAAAAAAAAAACACAAAGAAGAACCTGGATTGTAAATGCCTTCTCCTAACTGGTTGGTTGTAGAATAAATCACGAACAACAACTGCAACAAATGGTCAAGGTCAAAGTCAAACCTTTTATCACAATGACAGATCCTTGTGGAAGGAAACACTTGAAAATACTCAGAAATGATCTATTGCATTACATTACCTGTTGTGCCAACATCTTGTCTATCATCATCAATTCCTAGATATAAGCATTTGGAACACTGAAAATAGAAAAAAGAATTAGGAAAAGCAAGCTGCCATGAAAAATGCTAATATAAGAAGGCAGGTGATTCTTCCACTCTGTATAGAGATATTAAAGGAAGTGATACCTTTATGACCTTGCAGTATCCATTTGGCATTCCATGAGCCTTTGTAACAACTTGCAACAAAGAAAGGTCAGAAATTGAGCTTAATGCTTCCCCACGAAAGCCAAAACTCTCTGGAACAGTGTTCAGACCAGACAGCTGCTCAAACTTAGAAGTAGCTTCAAATGATGAAAACAGAAACACAATCATATATGACTTGATAAGAAGCATGAAAGCATTAATGTAATGAACATACATTCATAAGCATAATGTGGATGGAAAATATACTAATTCATGAGACATTATTCTAATTACCGTATCTTTCTCCCAACAACACCAATCCATCCCTTGTAATGCCACAACCTGCAAAATTATCCTTTCAGAATAAAAAGATAGAAACAAAGATGGGAGATAGGTCACACATATCACTCTTGTGGAATTGAGGTTGGTTACCATTGTCTGTAACTTTAATGTAGTTGGTCCCAACACCTACTGCTACAATCACCTGAAAGAACAATTTTTGACTTAATCAATTAAGTCGACTATGTTGTGCATAGCAGATCTTTATGAACTAAGATTACCTTTGTGGCACCAGCATCAAGGCTGTTGAACACCAGCTCTTCTACTACCCTTGTTAAGTCTGACAAAATGATGCCTGAACGCAAAGAATTTCTAACAGATTCTGGCAATACCTTGATGCTCCTCATCGATCTTGCCCAATCAGAAGATAAAAGTACCAAGTTTCCATCACTCTACTACTCTGTCTGACACAAACAAAACCATACAGTTTATATTTTATTAGTAAAATCTTTAACTACATATTTATATCCCAATTATTACTCACAAACCCTAGAACAAGCCCTTTTACCCAAAAAGTTTAGCCATACCGTGTATGTTGGTGAAAAAACCCTGAAATTGAAGAACGTTATATTGCGAAGACACCAAATTTCATCACTTTGCTGCTTCTATCTTAACAAAACAAAACCCATCATCCAAAGACGTTATTTCCAGCAATGTTCCTCCCGTCAAACCCATTTTTCCAGAAAGAAGATAGTCATTCCGTGTGTGCGATTGTTGGTGAAAAAATCGATGATTGGAGGACGCTAAAAAACCACTCCGTATGTGCAATTGTTGGTGAAAAACTCGTGATTGGGGATGCTACATGTAGAATTAAAATAAGTGGACAAGTAGAGTGTGAGACTGAAGAAGATGGAAGCAATTTACAGTTTCAAGAGCCTGGAAATTGGCGGGTCGGTGATATAGCCTGTTTGATTATGAGTTCCGAGCTAATATGCGCCAGGTCGTATACGTTCGTGAGACAAATTATAGGTCTTTTAAGTTTTACCAAATAGAAGTTTAATGTGTGTTGATGTCTTGATGATATGAGGTTAAAACCTAATTCGATGACGATTTTAGTAAAAAAGAATTAGATCACTATATTTGAGTTATTCACTAAAAAGGCAATAATATAATTGTGTTTCAAAAGAGTCACTTGTATCTTAAATTTAAGAAAATGACCATTATTCTCGCAAAGAACAAATCGCAAAATTTATGAAATTACATTCTGCTTACATAAATCAATGGTAAACTTTCGCAATAATATATTTTCGTTGTGATACATATTTTTGAGATGTGGAGTCATGTTATATATTACCGGTGATAGGAGAAGCATTGCAACTCAGGACGTGGTTTTTCAACTATTACATACTTGACGTAAAGCGAGTGTAATGATCGAGGATGGGGAACAAACCTTTGTTTTTCTCCTGTTAGCGTTATGAATAAAAAGACAATTTTACCCTTGGCATGCATGGCATGTGAGGCTTATTAACATACACATTTGACGACAAACTGATTGACAGATTTGGTGTGCAACAAAACAAATTTGGAGGATAGTCTGAGTGCAAAACAAAAGTTACGGACCAGTCGTTTCATTAGATAATAAATTAATAACCAGATCTTTTCTTATTATAAACTTATATTATAAGTCATTTTGGAAATACATCATAAGTAAATCACATTATCCAAAATAACACATAATTAATATATTATCTAATACTTATGATTATCAACATGTGAACAGTAACTGCGTTGGTAATTGTTACAAATGTTATTACATATTACTTTTTTTTTAACCGGCAAATATAATATATAATATACTCTTAAACTAAGATTTAAATCCATCTATGTCAACGACGGGACTTGAACCCTCGACTTCAAGGAGGGAGGGCATCACCTGATACCGCTAGGCTAGAAGCCCTTTGGTTATTACATATTACTTGTTTGGTAAGTTTTAACCAAAATTTAAGTTAGAATGGGCTATGGGACATCTTTATACAATCCACCTCATCAACCATTTCACAAGGTTGTGGAAATGATGTTCATTAGCGAGAATAGACACATTCCTTCCGTGAAGTTTTGTGATCACCCTCACTCGGTCACGCCACAAGACACGTACTATATTTTGCGACAGTGTTCACTAGTGGAACTCCTTCCACATCGAATTCATACGCATGCTTTTACCTCTATACTTGATAGCTTTAGCTTGTAGGTCTTTTGTAAAAATGATTCGAAGGTGGTGGGTTTGAACCACTGCATCTTTAAATCTGTAGTATTTTTGTAAAAAGGTGATGAAGATGTTGGCCGAACTTTTTTTTTTTTACAGTTTTGACCTAAGTATTATAATTATTGTTGATTTTGGTCGAAGTAAAAACTTTTTTTGCATTTATTACCCATGTTTCCACAACCGTGTTTGCATATGTTTTTACAAATTTACATTTTCTAATTCTCTATTGCTTTTACATCTTTTTAGAATAAAAACCATTTTTCTAAAAAACGCCACAACTTGTAACAATTTTTTTTTATGTTAGCAAATCATGAATGCACACTTTGTGTAATTAATCTTTTAGATGAGCTTTGTACAATAAGCATATATCATAAGTAAATTTATGACTTTTAAATTATTTTTGGCTTGTTTAAACCATTTAAACAATAAATACCTAGAACAAATCTAATGGTCAAAAAATTATTAGCTAAAACCATTTTACCTTTTTAATGCAAAAAAAAGGTGAAATCTACAACTATGATCTAGTATATAAATGTTATAATTTGGATTTTGAATATCAATCTATATTTTTTTAATAGTAAAAGCTTTTATTTAAAAAAATTACATAATAGTTAACTTAAGGGTCCGAATCCAACCTTTCCAATTAATCCTAGACTCTTCGTTATATGATAACACCATAAAAAAGCCTTTGAAAACTATACTATCAAAAAAAATCGGAAAAGGCAAATATATTATATAAATAAAAGGAACACGACAGCAAGGAGCAGGGGCGGATTTAGAGGGGGTCACTAGTGGCACCGGGCAACCCCTGATTTTTCCGGTCGTAGTGGAAAAAATTTCGAAATTTTTGAAATTTTTTTATTTTTTCTATTATCGTGCAACCCCTACTGTGAAATTATGTGTCCGCCCATGGCAAGGAGCTAAATCGGTTCCAAAGTTACAAGGAAATGGAAAGAGAAAAACAAAACAGGAACATGCTAAATTCAAGTTTAAGTGCTCAAAAGGATAGCAACTCCGTTAACTCCATTCTATCCGATTTTCCTTATCAAATAACAAGACATTTATTGGATGAGAATTACCAAAATGAGGCTTATTACAAAAACAGCAAACATACCACCACATAACATATAACACATCCTCTAGAAACTCCTTAATAGAGATTTAAATTGTTGGGAAATTTAGGGTTTGTGGTGGAGATCTGGATACCTACTTGGATCGTGATATCACTTTCCGAACTGATATTTCTACCCTATGTCTGGGTTACAAGAAATTCAGTCTAGGATAATCCAAGTGGACACTTACGTTTCTAGGCACAGAAGACGTAAGCCAATATGCTAGAGGATTCTGTGAAAGTATGATGAAACGAGAGCTTAAGATCGTAACCCCCTTCTGTAGAGGAATAGCTGTTTATATATTAAACACGATTAGGGTTTCATTGGGGTTGGGTCGTCATTAGTTGCTTTGGAAGCAAGTAATGTTAATCCGGATTTAATGAGGATTTAGGGTTACCAAAAACTAACAAGTTTCGTTAGTTTTACCATAATCACCCTCAAGAAATTGAATTTTCCATTATGTTCTCATATGTAAAATTCAGTGAGGTTACCATAATCAGCGGGACCCCAGCCAGGGGCTCTGCCCCTTGGACCCCGCTAGGGGCGCTGCCCCTAGACCCCGCCAAAGGGGCGTTGCCCCATTGGAAACCCCGGACCCCCGACTAGTCGTCGAACCGACTTCTAATTCGATCTTATAAATGTGTGCACTCCGCACAACCCCATACATATAATAGAGTACAAATCATGAAGCCCCTTAGCTCACATGTTAGTTCCAGTTACTTAAAATGACATGGTGACACTAAAATCACCAACATAAATCAAGCTACACAATCTCCATAAGAAAGAAGAAATGGAATCCGCACATCCTACCAAGGAAGGAAACGACTCAAAAGGTCTGAAGCAACATGACAAGTAAAAAGTAAATGGTAGATTGAATCCATACTCCCATCACACGACTGACACAACAAAGGAAATGTCGAAACCTCGATTACCGAGATTAGCTCCCATAGGAAGTCGATCCAACGCCATCCTCCAAGCAAAAACATTATCATTTATATATACCAAGTACCCTTTCACTTAGATAATTCAAGGATCATGTATATAAAATATTTTTCAAAATCTATGATTTCAACCCTAAAGGATCATAATAAAGTATGTTTTTCGTATATTATACTGTAGAAATATGACATTTTGAACCCATATGAATTTATAAATTAGTTTAATGTTTTTATTCGGTGGAAACCCAATAGCAGATTCCCTAGCTGCCACTGTTGGAACCAATGAAGCAAATGATTGACCCATCATATCATCTGAAGAAATGGAAAATACCAAAAAGTTCGAATTCATAGAGTTAGAATAGGCTTTAGAATAGTCGAATTAATGGTCAGTCTCGCTCTCTACCTACTAGATGGGATAAGGTTGTTCACATGCTTGAGATAAGACAGATCTAGCTCGTCACTCAAGTTAGATTGGCTTAGCAACTAACAAGGGGTGTTGAAGCACTAAGTGTCGTACAGTTTTCGGTCAGTTTTGTTAGACCTCTAAGCAAATGTTGCTAGACTTTCATGGTTGTTGTTGCTGCTCTTACAACTGCTAGGCATGTTACATGAGTGAGTTCACCGGTTCCATTGAATGCTCTTATATGTCGACAAAGATCGTGTGAGTGTGCAGTTATGCTTTGGATGCTTCGACATAGAATAGATCGACCCATTTCTCGTTCTTTTTTTGGTGCACCCGCTTTATATCTCCGACACACAAGGATTCATATACTTTTTCGATGCCTTCTATCTACGATAGTTCAACGGACTACTTTTGTGATGGCTATTACATGAAGAAGCTCAACAAGCCTTGCAAAAGTATACAATTTACTAATGCATAGTAATAGTGGTTTGTTGAGTTGGTTTTGCAAGTGACTTACTTCTTTTACCCGTTCTTGTTGTCTTAAATTGTTCTCTCTCAGATATCATAATTTTTCATTTGCCTTTTCTATATGTTCATAAATGGTTGTGCACCTCCAGATGGGGGGGGGGGGGGGGGGGGGGCTCCCACTCATCTATCTTCTTTGAATGAGGTATTTCAAGCGGGTGAAAGTATAGAACTACTAACCATAGTAAGAAAAGTTGGTTGGCGTTCAAGCAAGAGAGAAAGAAGTCACGATTAGGCTACAAGTGGGACTAGAAGCGAGTTATTTTCCATTGAATATGATATTTTAAATGATAAAATTATCCGATTTTGAAACTAGTTATATCGTTATAATGGTCATAAATCACTAAGTAGAACGATAATTTCTTTGTAATATATTCCGATAACTAATCACCAAGTTGAACCATAAATTCCTTGTAATTTATCCCAATAAATCACAGTTGAACAATAAATTCTTTGTAATAAATATCGTGATTTGGAAACTAATCATGCTCTTACAAAGTTCGACCATTTTTTATTTATCCATATAGAATACGACATATTTTTCACATAAATTAATAAAATAATTTCAAACCTACAATTCTGACTACAATCAACATTTTAATCAAATTGCATAATATACACCCAAAAGTACGTTGATATATTTTTATCATTTAATCATTTATTGGAATTCTGTTTCATTGCACGGGTATAACCCCTAGTTAAAAATAACATTGCCCATAGGTGAATATACTGAATATCGATTTAAATCGGCGGTAGGGGTTAACAAACCCAAACCGCAATCAAATTTCTATAACTATCATCATCATCTATATTACATTATATAGTTAAATCAAAACATAATCAAGTATTATTCCAATTCACAAAATATAAAAAAAAAATCAAAAATCAAAATATGTAAACAAAATATAGATGAGAAAGGAGAGGGATAATAAGCTGCAACAAAAAACACCTTTCAATCCCTTCTTTCCTCCCCCACCTTCATCCTCCCAAACTCAACCATTTTCAGGCCTCCGTCTTGGCGGCAGTTTGCCGGAGCCAAGGGTGCTGCAAACACTGCTCCGCCGTCGGCCGATTCTCCGGTGCAAAATCAAGAATCGGATTCAAAAACTTCGCAAATTCACGCGCATCACTTTCTTTAAACTTAAATTTCTCAATCAGTAAACGACTTATTGATGAATGTTTCAGTCTTCGAATCCTTTTCAAATCACCATGTCTATCAAAATAATCTTTTGATTTTGTCCCTGCAACCGATACCTATTTTCATTTAAAACCAAACCAAAAACCCAAAAAAAAAAAACGTATCATTAATATATTTTTTCATTAATAATAAATAAAAAACAACAATAATATATCACCTTCCGCGGCATCTTTCCTAAAAGTTCCATCATTAATGCAAGGTGGTCCTGCATCATATCATATCATCCCATTTAATGCTATCTTTTTTAGATTAAGGGGCTGTTTGATATGTTTTTTACTGGGTACTATATTTCTCAGGCTTCTCCGATATGTTTCTTACTCAGGTTTTGACTCAATCAGATCTAACTCAATCAACAACTATCAAAAAAACCCTTAAATTTATATATATTTTATATTCAAACTATTATATAAAAAATTATATAAAAAATACCTCATCTTCACTAAAACCTTGTCCTGGCTTAGGGGCAAACATCATTTCACCAGTAGCAAGCTCAAAAGCAGTGCAAGCAAACGACCACATGTCAGAAGGATACGAATAACCGGATTGCAATATAACTTCAGGAGCTCGATATTGTCTTGTTTGAATTTCTTCGGCGATCGGTTTATCAGCCCAACACGCGTTTCCCAAATCCACAATCTTACACCTGAAATCAATCCCATCAAGGCATCTTTCAGGTTTGACAGCTGGCGTTGCCCCAATGGCCCCACGCCTTTCTGCTGCAATTTTCGCCACTGCCCTTCTTGCCCGCTGTTTCAGCTTTTTCTCAATTGCGTTGACCGCCGCCCCACCGGTCAAACTTCCTTCAGGGCGTTCAAGAATTGGGGTGGCTTTTGATCTGATTGGGTCTTTTGAGGGA